TCGGCCTTTCTCTAGACCATCTTCAGTGTATAAAATAAATAGAGTATAAAATAAATAGTATAAAATAGTATAAAATAGTATACTCTATTTATTTTATACACTGAAGATGGTCTAGAGAAAGGCCGAAACGTTTGTATTTTTATGTTTAAAATATATGTGAATTTTATTATTGTGACACCTAGTCAAGGCTCTTAGCTCTTTTATTTCATTGATTGTTAATTTGTTGATTCTTTTAAATAAATTTAAAAAAATAAAAAATATCTCATAATGAATATCTTAATATTACTAAAGGGTCTTACGTAAGATATAATGAACTTGTTAGCATCCATATTACAAAATCTATTTATTAAGTTTTCCGCCATTTTGGATCCACCACTTTTTTTTACTTAAACTGCAGATCCGTCATTATCGACTATGCAACACATAATATTTTCTCGTAAATACATGCACGGTTTGTTACAAATTTACTCGCATTCGTACAGTTTTGACATTTTATGCCCACTTCATGTGATCCGCCATTTTGAATTTAGAACGAAATCAAAATTGGCGCAGGATATTTGTATAGCTTATTCAATTCCTGAAAAATTAAAAAAAATAATAAAGATCCGTTAAGAATTGGCGCACGGCTTGAATTTCAATCACAAAATGAACTTCTCGTCCCACTGTGCGGCGGCGCGGTAGAACCGGTCGGGCCGGTGTGTTCGTATACGGTCCGGTTTGTTCGGAGTCGGCGCGGTACGACGGTTCGGTGCGTGCGGCGCAGGCGCGGTATGTTCGGTGTCGGCGCGGTGCGATGTCTTCTCGCCGGTGACAGCTCGTGTTCGTGGTTAGGTCGGGTGTTGTGTATACGAGCAACTCAACACGTGGCGAGGATTACAAGCTTCGCTCAACTCGCTCTAGCCCACGGAGAGGATTGTCACTCAGTTCGTGACGCGACACGGGTCGGAGAGGATCTCCCGCTCAGCTCGCGGTTCTCGGGTTGACGTTCAGCGCACGTCGTGATCATAGGCGGTTAGGTCCTCGTTCAACACACGAGTTTCGGAGGCGGCTCAGGCTCAGCTCGTCGTTGCCGTAGGTAGACCTGCTCAACTCGCTGGTCGGGTTCTGGTGGTCTCGGTGGCTTCTTCGGTGCCTTATACAGGGTGAGGCATTTAAAACTGTTTTTCAGAATATTTGGAAAAATACAAATCGGATTTAAAAAAAGTTGCAATAAAAGTTGTTCACCTCGAAGAGGGTCATCCATTAACATAAAGCTCGACCCCCCTGCAGCACCCCCCCGAGGCGGGAGGGGGGTGACTTTGAAATCTTATATAGAAACCCCTATTTTTTATTGCAGATTTGGATTCTCCGTGAAAAAATATGTAACTTTTGTATGAGACATTTTTCTCGTTTCATCATAGATGGCGCTGTAATCGGCAAAAATGAAAATTAGTTGAAAATGGTTGAAAAATGGTAATATCACAAAAAAATACACATTAGATTAGGAACATCAAAGTAAATTTTTTGATATTTTTGAAAATGCTATCATGTGACACCGTCTACCCTTCTGCAATGCATTCTTAGACTACTTTTAGCTTTACCGAGGAACAACGACGTGGACGTAGTAGTAATTTGTTCCCTTCGGGGTTTTTGATTTTGGTGAGTCCCCTTGCCTCTCACTATCTCGGGGTGTTTGATTACTGTGAGTCCCCTTGCCTCTCACAAGTGTTTCATTGAAGCAAATGTTCGAAATGATGTCCGTTGTTTCTAATGCACATTGCAACTCTGTGTCTGAAAGACGGTCCGACATTTATAAGTGTCTCTGCGCTAATGTTTGCACATTCATTAATAATTCGCTGCTGCATATTTTCTGGGGTTGTTGGTACATCCATGTAAACTCTCTCTTTTAGCCTTCCCCACAGGAAAAAATCGGCAGAAGTCAAATCGGGTGAACGTGCGGGCCAATTTTGAGGACCTCCTCGTCCAATCCATCGACCCGGATAGTTTCCATTCAAAACTTCTTGAGATATTCGTGAATAATGCGCTGGGCATCCATCGTGTTGAAACCACATATCCATTCTTATTTGAAGTGGAACATCTTCCATTAGTATGGGTAAAACGTTATCTAAAAAGTCGCTCTACATTTGACCATTCAGATTACCTTCTATGAAGTATGGGCCAATTACCTGAGTACCTAAAATACCGCACCAAACGTTGACACTCCGCGGGCGTTGATGTTCAACTTGCCTTAACCAATGGGGATTCTCTACTGACCAATAATGCATATTATGTCGATTCACTTGACCACGATTCGTAAAATTTGATTCATCAGAGAAAAGTATCTGTAAAATGAAATTATCATTGACTGCCAGTTGTTCCTGTATCCAGTTGCAAAAATTCAAGCGATTTTGAAAATCGTCACCATGCAGTTCTTGATGCAGCGATAAATGAAATGGATGAAATGTGTGTTCATGCAGTATGCGTAGAACACTTCTTTGAGAAATTCCTGAACCTCGCGTAATTTGCCTAGAACTAATGTGAGGATTTGCAGCAACTGCAGCTAAAACATTCACTGTGTTATTTTCGTTTGTCACAGGCCGCGGTCGGACTCTTTCTCTAGGTTTAACACTTCCAGTTTCAGTAAACAGTTGGACAATACTGCGAAAAGCCGTTGCAGAAGGAACATTCCTATCAGGGAACAGATTAGCATACCTTTGACGAGCTTCTTCAACATTTCTATGAGCCTCAAAGTGCGAGGAAATGATATCTACTCTCTCTACAATCGTTAACATCGTGGAACAATTGAGAAGAGACGTTTACAGTCCGAATCATTGAAGTAAAATGAACAGTCTGACCACTTTGCTTTTCGAACATTTGCTTCAATGAAACACTTGTAAGAGGCAAGGGGACTCACAGTAATCAAGCACCCAGAAGGGAACAAATTACTACAACGTCCACGTCGTTGTTCCTCGGTAAAGCTAAAAGTAGTCTAAGAATGCATTGCAGGAGGGTAGACGGTGTCACATGATAGCATTTCCAAAAATATCAAAAAATTTACTTTGATTTTCCTAATCTGATGTGTATTTTTTTTAGATATTACCATTTTTCAACAATTTTCAACTCATTTTAATTTTTGCCGATTACAGCGCCATCTATCAAGAAACGAAAAAAATGTCTCATACAAAAGTTACATATTTTTTCACGGAGAATCCAAATCTGCAATAAAAAATAGGGGTTTCTATTTAAGATTTCAAAGTCAACCGGGGGTGGTGCAGGGGGGTCGAGCTTTATGTTAATGGATGACCCTCTTCGAGGTGAACAACTTTTATTGCAACTTTTTTTTAATCCGATTTGTATTTTTCCAAATATTCTGAAAAACAGTTTTAAATGCCTCACCCTGTATATATACATATTTATTAAAATATCTTTTTATAATAAAAAATTTTTTTAATTAAAATCAATATTACCATCTAATTCTTTTGCTACTTCCAGCCATGCTTCTTTTACAATTAGTGGACTTCTAAGCTTCACAAAAATGGTATGATTCCACAAACATGGTTTCTTCATCACAGCATTTATCAGCACCTCGTCAACGTCACTCCAAGTTTTATTTGCTTTATTTCTGGGTTTTTTCTTCTTAGATACTTTAAACTCATCAACATTATTATTTTCGCCTAATGTTGGCTCTTCATCATCTAGTCTCCCTAAAGAAAGTTCCAATTAAGCATACTGAGATAATTGACTTGCAATATAAAAATTATATATTAAACTGTCATTTTTATGGATCATATTTAGTAACAAATAAGATATAAGTATTTGAAAACAAATACTCAACAAAAAATTTACCTTTAAATAAACAGTTGTTCTCATTAACAAAAATATTTTCCGTTTCAATATTTATGTTCGCAAAGCATGAATGTTTTAAAAAATCAAAATTTTCTTTTGGCACTTTAACATTGCAGTACAAACATTGATAATACTGTAAAAGAAAATAATAAACATTATACTTAACCTCAATATATTTGTTTCACTATTTACATCACATCAATATTTAAGATTTTATACTTACAGAATCTTCTTGCTTTCCGCTTATTTTATTTTTGTTATAACCCTCTATTTTCCAAGTATTCAATAATTTTTAACTGAATTTACACAGTACTTAAAAATCGGTAATTAAAATACACGCTGGCAGGCCCTGGTTTGCGTGATAGAAAACTGCGTGTGAGAAAATGCGGAATAGCTCTGATTGGTTGTTTCTATGACGCACGTTCTATTCCGCAGTTCTATTCTGCATCATGTGATTTCAGCCTAAGTGTTCTTGGGGTCGCTGATTGCGAATCCGGTGTCAGATTTTCAAAATCAAAAATGGCGGATCCAATATGACTAACAAAAATTTTGTAAAATAATTTTTTTTAAGATTTGGTATCTGGGGGCCGATTGTGTATCACGCAACTTGGTGACAATTACAAAAGTGAGCATATTTGTAATCTCATTGGTCAACATCTAGTAAATTTGCTCACTTTTGTAATTTTAACCCAAGTATTGGATACACATTCCACCCCCTGATACTAAATCTTAAAAAAAATTATTTTACAAAATTATTGTCAGCCATATTGGACCCGCAATTTTGAATTTTGAAAATCTGACACCGGAGTCGTAATCAGTGACTCCAAAAACACTTAGATATACATTGTTAGAAAAAAACGACAAGTTTTCAAAATGTTTGTCGGCCACATCGAATCCGCCATTTTGAATTTTGAAAATCTGACACCGGATTCGTAAGCAGCAACCCCGAAACACTTAGATACACATTTTTAGAAAAACAGCAAGTTTTCAAAATGTCGGCCATATTGGATCCGCCATTTTGAATTTTGAAAATTTGATACTGGATTCGTAATCAGCGACTCCAAAAACACTTAGAGACACATTTTTAGAAAAAAAACGCCAATGTTTTCACAATATTTGTCGGCCATATTGGATCCGCCATTTTGAATTTTGAAAATCTGACACCGGATTCGTAATCAGCGACCCCAAAAACCCCTGTACACCAAGTTTTATGATAAACCGATGACTAGAAAAACTAAGCTAGTGACTAAAAGGTTAACTCTCTACATAAAAATACCTACACTATTATGGTTGATAACCTTCCAACGGGCAAAAACGGGCAAATGAAGTTTGTTTCTCTATTTAAAGGACACTTTAAAGAAAAGATTCATTCTAGTTTCGTTCGGGCATAATCGGTCAAAGTTATTAAAACACGTATTGGAAACTTACTTTCATCATGCAAAAGTGAGCTAAAATACGTTAGTCAATCACTTAATTTCTAAATAATTGACATATACAGGATGTCGGATTCGATTTGGACAACTCCAAAGATTATAGTAGATTGGGTCAAACTGAGAAGAAAAGTTATATACCATTTTACAAAATCCGTAATTATTATCGCGTAATTAAGAAAAACGTCTGAGCCAATAAGTGCACGGAGGAGCGGAAGGCCGGACTCGGCAGACATGCAAAATGGTGTATTTGTTGACATCTCTCAAGATCCGATAGCGAGAGGTGGAGTCATGCATCGATCGATGAGAGACGGAGGCGAGCGGGGAGCGGTGAGCGGGCGAACGACGCGCAGCGAGCGAACG